TCGCATTGTCCAGGGGTTCAAATGGAGGCCCTGAAAGGCCAGCCAAGACCACCTGAAGGTCCCAAGACGGAGCCGACCGCCGGAGGGGAGGCCTGATCCTGCGGGCCCCTCGTAGGAACCGCGCAGAGTGGCTACCAAACCCCACGTGCCCAGTGGTAATGGCCGCCGCGAACACACCCAGAGTGGCGGCCGCCCTTCCATTTCTCCAGCAAGAACTGGAGAAAAGCCAAGACCTCCTGGATGGAGGGATGTTGGACCCCACTAGGTGGGGTCCAACATCTGTCCACGCACCAAGAGGCGAAGAGTTTCCAGCGAACCTCATACGCTTTGGTGGTGGATGTAGCCCTCCCACCCTGAATAGTAGCGACCACTGAGGGAGGGAGACCAAGGCTCAACATGAGCCTGCTTCCCAGGACAGGGCGTGAGTAAAGGGCTCCCCCTGCCTGTCTCAGAGCATCAGGACGGTCCGGAACGGGCCAAGGCGGACTGAGCGCCATGCTCACCAGGTCCGGATAGCACCTGGCTCCCGGGCTGTCCGGCGCCACCACCAGGATGGAGACTCCTCCGTCCTCACCCTGTAAAGCAGGGCTGCCAAGAGCCGGCGAGGCGGGAAGGCGTAGAGGAGACCGTTGGGCCACGACCGGTGCGCCATGGCGTCCACCCCGAGAGGGGGCTCGTTGCTGGACCTGAGCGAGAACCAGAGTGGGCACTGTGCGTTCTCTGCATTTGGGAAAAAGTTGGCCACCGGTGTCCCGAACCGGAGCCAGACCTCTGCCACGACTGCTGGGGCGAGACCCCACTCGTCCCGCAAGGCCTCGCCCCTGGACATCCTGTCGGCGGCCACGTTACGCTCGCCTGGGATATGACGGGCCCTCAGAGAGGCTAGGTGAATGTCCGCCCACAGAAGAACCTCCACTGCCAGCCTGTGAAGGGCGGGGGACCTGGTCCCCCCATGCCTGTTCAGATATGCTGCCACAGTGGTGTTGTCCGTCCGAACAATCACCTGTTGGCCCTCCAGTCTGGTCATGAAATGGGCCAGCACCAACCGCATCGCCTCCAACTCCAGGAGGTTGATGTGCCCCAAGGGGGAGGACCAAACGCCTCCTGTCGAGTGGTGGCCGAGCACGCCTCCCCAACCACTCAGTGAGGCGTCCGTGAAGACCTCGATGTGGTGGTCCACAACACCCATTTGAACTCCCTCCTGGAGTCGACCTGGGGACAGCCAGAAGGCGACGTCATTCTGAGCCCTCTACGACAGTCGCTCCCTCCGTGATAAGCCCCTGAGGTGTGAGAACCACCTCTGGAGATATCGCATGTGCAGCAACCCCAGTCTCACCACTGGATGGGCCGCTGCCATCATGCCCAAGAGTGACTGGATCTGCCGCGGTTGCACCCGAGGTTCACCCAGAACGATCCGGCCCAGGTTCTGAACCGCCGCTTCTCTCTCTGGCGAGAGTGAAGCCGTCATGCTCCTGGAATTCAAGCCCAGTCCCAGATACGAGATCTCCTGGGCCGGGCACAGGGAGCTTTTGTCCCTATTGATCACAAACCCTAGGTGGGCACGTGGTTTAACACTCTGAACGTTTGATCCTGCGCATCATCCCGGGAGGACAGGATCACCATTCGTTGATATACGTCAGTGTCCTGAGGCCCTGACGCCGAAGGGGTTCTAGCGCCGCCTCCACACACTTGGAGAAGGTGCGGGGGGGCTAGGGAGTAGCCGAGTGGGGGACCGGAGGAACTTCTTGTGCCCCTGTGCAATGGGTTTGTGAAAATTCGCGTCGTGGAGGTCCACGGAGGATCTCCAGTCCCCGGGCCTGATGCTCAGGAGTAGCTGTTTACTGTGGGCATGCGAAACAGTCGCTTGGCTATGCAGCCATTGAGGACGAGCAGGTCCAGCATGGCCCGCACCCCTCCGCACTTTTTTTAAAAAAATTTTTTATTTTTTTGGGGACTATGAAGTATTGAGAGTAAAACCCTGTCCCTGTCCTGAGCGGGTCTACCTCCACTACCGCCCGGCGCTGCAGAAGCGTGTTGACCTCCCTGTGAAGCGCCACTGCGTTCTTCGGGCTGCCTAGCCCTGTCTGGAGAATGCCGCAGAAAGGAGGGGGCCGCCAGGAGAACTGGAGAGCATAGCCCCGACTCAGCACTCTGTGTATCCACAGAGTTCCCCGGAGCCCCGACTGTTCCGATACGGTGACAACATGGGTCAAGGGAAGCACAACGAGATGGGAGGAGGGAGAAAGGCCTGGTCCGCCCACAGATGTCCCATCCTGGGGAGGCATCGGATAGTGGGGGGCCCGTGGGAAAAAGGCCTGAGCCCTAGCTACGGCCCTGGGCCTTTCTCTGGGTGGCCGCGTGAGGGCAGGTGTGCTGCACTTACGTGGAGCCGAGCCCCTGCTCCCCAACACTGTGGACTAAGAGGGGGCCGAGCAGTCCCGCTTATTGCAGTGGGGGGCCCCTTGAAAGAGGGCTGGGCCCTAGCTGCGGCCCTGGGCCTTTTCCCGGGTGGCCGCGTGACGGCGGGTGTTCTGCGCTTACGTGGAGCCGAGCCCCTGCTCCCCAACACTGTGGACTGAGAGGGGGCCGAGCAGCCCCGCTTATTGCAGTGGGAGGCCCCTGGGAAGAGGGCAGGGCCCTAGCTGCGGCCCTGGGCCTTTTTCCAGGTGGCCGCGTGAGGGCAGGTGTGCTGCGCTTACGTGAAGCCGAGCCCCCGCTCCACAACACTGTGGACTGAGAGGGGGCCGAGCAGTCCCACTTTTTGCAGTGGGGGGGCCCCTGGGAAGAGGGCTAGGCCCTAGCTGCGGCCCAGGGCCCTTCTCCGGGTGGCCGCGTGGAGCCGAGCCCCCGCTCCCCAACACTGTGGACTGATAGGGGGCCGAGCAGTCCCACTTTTTGCAGTGGGGGGCCCCTGGGAAGAGGGCTGGGCCCTAGCTGCGGCCCTGGGCCCTTTTTCTGGGTGGCCACGTGAGGGCAGGTGTGCTGCGCTTACGTGGAGCCGAGCCCCCGCTCCCCAACACTGTGGACTGAGGAGGGGGGGGAGAGCAGTACCACTCATTGCTCTGGATAGTGGGGGGCCGCTGGAAAAAGGTCTGAGCCCTAGCTGCGGCCCTGGCTTTTACCGGGTAGCAGCGTGAGGGCAGGACAGCTGTGAGCTGGTGCTCGTGGCGCACAGAGAGCGTAGGAGGGTAGCGTGCAGCCGCGCACTCTCTGCCCAAGAGAGGCAAAGGCACGGGGAGCGCACAGCGGTCCCGGAGCATGCCTCCAGCGCGCGCACGAGAGGCGCGCTGAGAGAGGCTCCAGGCACTTGGCAGATGAGCAGCGTTGGCCAAGCGCTGAGGATAAGGAAAAGGGGAAAGAAGTGTTCTCTTTGAGGGAGTAACGGGCCTGATGATGGCCGTTATTTAAGCGTTTCCCTCCCCTCCTTGCAGCTGCAAAGCCGGGGTGGCTGCTCCTCCCCAGTTTCGACTACCAGTTCATGTTAGTTGTGCCAAAAAAAGTAATGGTGTGAGCAAATCAAACAGATTTAATGACATTCTGCATTTCAGACTATTTTGAAATGTCCCTCATCTGTAACAAACAATGGTTTTGGTCTGAGTCTAAACAGAAAGACAGAATGTTAATAATGTTAATTCCATTTTATATGGATGTATTGTTATAACAAACAAATACAGTACCTATGTTCACTAAGGTGTCATTTATCTTTCCATTCAAACAACAATTTACAGAAAAAATATGGCATAATTTTGCCAATAGTTTGAAATGCGATTAATTTTTACGCTGTAATTAACTCGATTAAAAAAATTAATCGTTTGACAGCCCTAATATATATAATATATATATATTGTATATGTCGTATGTATTTTTGTACACTTTTGTGATAAAACATTGCCTAATTTTGGTATTTGTTTGTTTGTTTTTAATGATCATGGTTCACGGTACACAGTGGTTTCCCTTCTGTGTTGCAATTGCACCAGCGGAACAAAGTTCTTCATATAGTAATGTCTTTTCTTTACAAAACATCACTCTCTCAGTAAACAGTCTATAGAAAATATATTATCATGACGGACCCAGCCAGAAGAAATGTCAGCCGCAAAGTAAGAGCAGACTATGACCCTTTATGAATGGCGTACTCAACCAGGTTATTCATTTCCTGCATCTTTGTCTTTGTAGCAATACATTTTGTGCAATATTGGCAAAAGTCAGAGAAGAATTTAAACATGGCTTCAGCCCTAAAAGGGGCGGCACGGTGGCTGAGTGGATAGCACTCTTGCCTCTCAGTTTGCATGTTCTCCCCGTGTCTGAGTAGGTTTCCTTCCGGGTGCTCTGGTTTCCCCTACCACTAAACATGCACCCTAGGTTAAATCCTCCAGCTCCAGTAGTCCTGACCAAGCCGAGCATCAACATCTGGCGACGGGTTCCCGGGCGTTGTACTACGGCGACCACTGCTCCTGACATAAGCCTCAGTGGCATCAGGATGGGTCAAATGCAGAAGACAAATGTTCCTATGGGAACAATAAAGTGCAAATTTACAATATTGTGTGCAACAAGTTCAACCTCGTCTGACAAAATTACCATAGTATTTAAGTATTGATACACACCTATTATTGAATACCTATTATTGAATAATACCAACTATTTCACTTCAGGCCTTTCCAGATTTTCCCATGTCTCATGTCTGAGCTTCATAGTCTTCCATGATCACTCACTTGGTCAATAAAATAAAAACAATAAAAACAACAATTTAATAAATAGTAGTTTTAGTACGATCAATACAATAATTTCAAGATTATTGCACATTGTTAGAGTTGTAATTGGCTTTTTAAACACCAGATGTCACTACAAGTCAAATGCCAATGAGACGTTTCAGCCTTGGCTTCGAAGATGATTATTATGATGACTTATTGTATGGCTCAATGTATTTTACTTTACGAACTAGAAATGTATTACATCATTATATACATTACTTTCAATGTTGTTGTTTTTTTGCAATATCCTTCATGATGATAACTGAGGTGCATTGCTTTGACCTTCTCTCCTTTGTTTCAGTCCCAGTGTCCAAACCTTCACTCAGACCCCTCACTCCTCCGATGGGTGGGCCTTCGTGCATGGGGGAGGCTGTGACTGTGCGCTGCAGTGCAAACCAGGGCACGAACGTGGTGTATGTTTGGTATCAACAAGCTCAGCCTGAAGTCGCTGTGGTCTCAAACTCTCCGGATCTAAGGCTGGATTGTCGCTTATCTCAGAAAAATACACACTTTTATTGTGTGGCCAAAAACAGCATGGGACAGCAGCGGAGCGATACTGTCTTTGTGCAGGTTCTCTTTGCAGCAGAGAACAACTGCATGTATCAGGTTCTTTTTCATGGTAGTAATAATTAATGAATCACATTTTATTGCTATGATTTCTTTTCTTTCTTTTTTTCACCAGTGCACCTTTAATTAACGCATGCGTTAAACAATATGGATGTTTTGGGTTGACTAAAACATTCATAATCATAATCAAAATTGTAAATTTTTCCTATCAGTGATTAGGAATTTCACAAACTAGGGATTTGCTTCGAAATATATGTTGCGCTAAAGAATAACATTGTAAAATATATATATAAAAAGTCATGTATAAAACTCTTAGTGCAATTAAAAATGATATACATTCAATAGACATAGTGCAGGTTATAAAGCTATAATATCAATTCAATTCAATCTGTTCTTGTATAGGCCTAAATCACAGTAGTTACCTCGAAGGACTTTACACAACCGTTGAATTCGCCGACACAGATCAGTATAAATCAGTTCAAACACAAGAAATAAGATAGAAAACACATTATTGGTCCATAAGGGGCAGTTGACCAATGTATAGATGTTGATAAATGTCCATAAATGTTGTTGAATGTTCTGAATGATCACCACTGTCCTTTAAAGTGTCCCAAATGAGTAATTTTTATCTAAAACGGGACTTACACCTCCACAAACAATGGGGAAATTTTTTTTTCTGGTGGATGGCTCATCTGCCCTAGAAATGGGATTTTATTCATTTGTCAAGAATATTATATATGATTACAGAGTTTATGACTGTAAAATATTATCTTAAAAAAAATCATATGATACGTGTTCAAACTTTACCATAGCACAGTAGTCGCACAGTGGGTGTAACTACAGTAGGCGGATTTCAACAGGATGGAAATGGAAAGCTAAGTAGAAGGCATAGATGGAAAAAAAAAAAAAACTGCATAGCTTTTTTCATTTGGATTGAAAAAGTTTTTTTTTTCATTCCTCAGATCAGTATATCTATCACTGCCCAGGCAGACTGACCACTGCTTCTATCACCACGGCGACCGCCTTCCAATCCACGGCACATGTTTCACCCTTCAATCAAAATCAGACCCTTCCGAGTGGAGTTCACACCTGGTTAGAAATGAATGCTATATTACAATATTTAACTGTTGTTCTCTGACTTTTTACGTATTTCAACCATCACAAGGCAAGGCAAGTTTATTTGTATAGCACAATTCATACACAAGGCAACTCAAAGTGCTGAACAAAACAAGAAAGCATTAAAATCATAAATAATCACAGAACATTAAAAAGAAAGATAAAAGTATAAAATCCCTCAGTTGTATGCACAGCTAAACAGAACTGTCTTTAACCTGGTTTTAAACATTGTCAGAGAGGAGGCCTGTCTCACATCTTCAGGAAGATTGTTCCAGATTTTAGCAGCATGAATCTGAAAAGCAGCCTCCCCATGTTTAGTTCCCACTCTGGGCACTAACAGGAGTCCAGTCCCTGTGCTCCTCAGAGTCCGGGCTGGTTCATATGGGACTAACATGTCACTAATATATTTTGGTGCGAGGCCATGGAGAGACTTGTACACAAGCAGAGCTGTTTTAAAGTCTATTCTCTGAGCCACAGGAAGCCAGTGCAGAGACCTGAGAACTGGACTAATGTGGTCGTACTTCCTGGTTCTAGTCAGGACTCGAGCTGCTGCATTTTGAATGTACTGCAGCTGTTTTACAGCCTGTTTGGACAGACCTGTGAGCAGGCCATTGCAGTAGTCTAACCTACTGGAGACAAATGCATGGATAAGAATCTCCAGGTCTGCTTTAGACACTATGTTTTTGATCCTGGCGATGTTTTTTAGATGGTAAAAAGCTGCTGATGTTACTGATTTGATGTGGCTATTAAAATTTAAGTCTGAGTCCAGTATTGCCCCTAGATTTCTGACCTTGTTTGAAGGTTTTAGGGAGAGAGACTGTAGATGACAGATGACGCTCTCTCTTTGTTTCTGGGGACCAAAGACAATCATTTCAGTTTTGTCTGCGTTTAGCTGAAGGAAGTTGTTTTGCATCCACTCACTGATCTGTTGGATACAGTGAAGGAGTGAGACCACTGGTCCAGGTTCTCCTGCAGTCAGTGAGACATAGATCTGAGTGTCATCTGCATAGTTATGATAGGACACTTTGTTTCTGCGTATTAACTGACCTAACGGCAGCATGTAGAGATTGAACAGAAGATATTGTGTATTTTTAAATATCTTAACACACTGACTGACTTTCGGTTTGTTAAGGGGCTGTGAATAAAACGTACATGTGTGAATATCTATACATTTCTTTAGTAAATTCTTGCATTCTAAGTGAACTGTCCAAAATGTTTTCCAATAAGTTTGTTTATGTTTTTAGGTCACGGACGACGATTCCACCCTGGTATAGTTTTCTTCGTTTGAGTTTGCTGGCATCAATGCTGACCTTCCTGCTCCTTGTGGTGATATGCACTAAAACTGCTCTTGCGAGGAGGATTCGGAAAAATGACTCATTGTCCCTGTGACACAGTCCTGTTAAAGCAGAAGCTACCGAATTCAGCAAATATACCACCTTTCTTATTGTTCCCTGTCCTTCTGTATGAAAGATCAATTCAATTCAGTTTATTTTTGCATAGCCCTAAATCACATCAGTAGTTGTCTTGGAGGCCTTTACAAAGTCGTAAATTTGCCAACACTGATCAGAGTTTATAAATGTTATTGAGTGTCCTGGATCATCACCACCGTCCTTAGGCCCTGTATCGGCAAGGAAATAATCTAAAAACCCAGTTGGAGAAAATAAGAAACGTAAAACAAATGAGAATAGATCCATAGAATGAGGACCAAAGCCACGCCGTGCAGGACTGAGGCGGCTCCCAGGCGGGGAGGAGGTGCAACCCATAAGTACGGGTCAGGGGAGAAAGTCTACAGGTGAGGCCAGAGGAGGCCGAATTCAAGGGCCATATTTCTCCCAGCAAAGTGTTTCCATATAAGATAACAAAAGATAAACTTTATTCATCTTGCAATGGAGAAATGTACATGTCACATTTGGCATTGATAGAATCGCTCAGATTGTGCAAAAGACAGAAGTGTGCAAACATGTTAAAGGTTAAAAATATAGTCTATACTCAGGATATATCATGGCAATAGCAGGGCTGTATTTTTCTGTCCTAGTGCAGGTCAAGAGTGACTTAAAGTGACTTATTGTACAGTCTGATAGCGGTGGGGATGAAGGCCCTGCGGTAGCGCCCCTTTCTGCACTGTGGGTGTCTCAGTCCTCCACTGAAGGAGCTCCTCAGCTCCTCTACAGTCCGGTGCAGTGGGAGGTGTTGTCCATGATGGAGGTGACTTTGGCTAGCACCCACCTGTCCCTCACCTCCTCCACAGAGTTCAGGGAGCAGCCCAGAGTGGAGCTGGCACTGAGCCAAAGCAATTTCCAAGTCTGTGACTTCCTGTTACTTACGTGGCAATAAAAATGATTCTGATTCTGACCAGCTTGTTCAGTCTACTCCTGTCCCACTCTGTGCTTCCTGGGGTCCAGCACACAGTCCTGAGCAGAGGCCTGCTCACTCCAAAGGACCTCAGCCTCCTCAGAAGGTGGAGGCGGCTTTGGCTCTTCTTGTCAAGGGGCGATGGTGTTACAGGAACTGTACAGCTTGACTGACAATCTGTATTTTTAGACTTAAGGTTGTATTTCTAAGTCTTACCTGAGTCTTAACTACCTAACCATATGTTAGATTAAAGAAGACTGTTTTAAGCCTGGCCTTGAAAGTAGAGACCAGGAATAGTCTGACGTTTTGCAAGCGCAGATCTCAGTTTGGTTGATATGACACCAACTTGTCCTGAAAGTAGGAGCCATGCTATTTAAGGCCTTGTATAGTAAAAAAAGAAATGTAAATTTTCCACGGTATTATGGATTAGTTAGAAGGTTTTTTGTGGAAGATCTAGGACACACTGCCACCCGAGTGTTACAGCAGTCAAGAAAGTGTTGCTCCAGGTTTGGCCATACAAAACATCACACATTTTAAATGGTTTTCCTGCTGATTAGGTCAAAATTCAAGCCGCACAGGGCAATAAATATTTCTGATGCATTATGATGCAGGGAGTGGTTCTTTGGAAATGATGATTTTATGATTTAGTAACCTCTGAGCATGTTGTAAAATTTACGCTGTAAATCAACTGGACAGCAGTCAAGCACATAGAACAACAACAATAGATTTGAAATTAACAGCCGCGCTTAAGGGCATGTTCACACTTCAGTCCAGAGTGAACTAGTCACTTTGAGTGAACCAAATAGGGAAGAATACTTGCTTTGGACACAACATATTGTGTCCAAAGCAGACCTGGAGATTTTTTTGTCCATTCTTTTGTCTCCAGTAGGCTAGATTACTGCAATGGCCTGCTCACAGGTCTCTCCAAACATGCAATAAAACAGCTGCAGTACATTCAAAATGCTGCAGCTCGAGTCCTGACTAGAACCAGGAAGTATGATCAAATTAGTCCAGTCCTCAGGCCTCAGCACTGGATTCCTGTGGCTCAGAGGATAGACTTTAAAACAGCTCTGCTTGTGTACAAGTCTCTCCATGGCCTCGCACCAAAGTACATCCATGATGGAGACGGGTCCCCTGCTGGTGCCCAGAGTCAGAATTGGACATGGGGAGGCAGCGTTTCAGATTTATGCAGCTAAGGTCTGGAACAGTCTTCTTGAGGATGTGAGACTGGCTGCCTCTCTGGTGATGTTCAAATTTTCTTCAGTTGCATACAACTGAAGAATTTCATCTTTTTAATGCACAGCTGTTATTTATTATTTTAATCCTTTGTGTGATTTTAATGTTTTTAATTACCTGTGTGACTTTAATTGTATTTTTAATGGTGAGTTTGTGTTTGTTTTATGTGATGTTTTGTGCCTTGTGTGGTGTGGACTGCTTTGTGTTGCCCTGTGTAGGAAAAGCGCTCTATAAATAAAGATTGATTGATTGATAAAGAGATGTAAAACCAAATAAATGACACCCTTGGTTTACGGCATGCATTTTCTTGCATCATGTCTTAATTTCCATATTATACACACATTTAAACGTGAATGTATGAAATGCTTTTTCAATATCACAATTTTGCACAAAACTATATGCATGCTCATTTGATGACACCATAGGAAGTTAAACACAGCTTATAAATGGGGACCAATAATGAACTAGAATGTTGAGACAAGCAGGAAAGTAAGTCAAATCTACACACACACAAACAGACACTTCTATTACAGTAACATTTTATTCATATTGTAAACTTTAATTCGTGCTACTCACCAGTTCTTGAGGCTGTGGGTGTGCGGGTTACAATTTATAATAAAAACAGTGCTCTTATCTCGTAGTTTTCCTTGCTAAAATAACCAAACGGCAGGACGGTAACAGATCAGCCCTTCCTATTTTCCACTCACGCGTACACGGGGGCGCGCTCTCTCTCCCCTCTCTCTCTTGCTGACAAACAGTGTTGAAACAAATACTAATAAAAACAATATTAATCAATAATAGAAAATCATTAAATAATATACTCCAAAATAATATCAAGATTATCAAATGTAAAGTAAATAAGTAAATACAAAAATCAATGTTACAATTTCATAAATAATATGTAAATATCATCAGAGATCGCATTTAGTATTCATGCAGGGTCCTTGCATTCAAACCACTTGGTTCTATAACTAGTTTCCAGATGCATGCATTTTCTAGCCTCTGTCACATTTTAGATAATCCCTTTAAAAGTGAAAAACAGAGGACCAATCACACTCAACCTCAGCTTTCATCCCAAAGCGGATTTCTCTTACAAGTGTCTTACAAAGGACTTGATGTTTTAAAGCTCCGTTCCAAAGCTCCGTTCCAAATGTGTGTCAATGCTGAGGGGGGTGTTTTTTTTTTGTCCACTCTAGTTTACTCGCGGGGAATTTTTGAAGTCTCTCGTTCAAATTAATGGAGCTGCGCTAGCTGACGCATGCGCAGATGCGTTTTGTCACAATTTTCTTGTGGGCGGGACCACTCGCGGTCTTGCTCCATGAAAGCACTTTCATGGCCAACTCCTATGAACGGCGGAGATAGGCGTGACTCTGTCCATTAATATATACAGTCTATGGTGCAAACACTCTATATAAGTGATGGCTATTGGAAGATATACATATTTAAGACGTATATTAACACCCAAAAATCGCTTACTTCTGCATTAAAGCTTCAAGCTTTTTTTTTTTTTTTTACGACTCTTTTGCCTACGTCACCACGCACGCCCTTCCTCTTATTGTCACGTGGCTCACGCCTTTTCCGGGCAGCAGTAGGTGCAGCTCCAGCGCCGTCAACATTTCACAGAGACTACCACTGTGGTGAGTAATTTCAATCATTTGCAGCGCTCTGCTTGGATTTCTCTTGGTGTTACAGTTTTATTATCCCAGCTTTACAGCCCGTGTAGCGAGCGTACCTTTCTAGTGGCGTTGGCTAGCTTAACTGCTTTGTTTGGACTACGATCCCGACTTGCCCATTTTAGCCTTCTGCATTTTTACCACGGAAATAACTTTTTTTTAGTTTGTATACCGTTACGTGTTGAACATTACATGATAACGTGATTACAGCTACTTCCCTGCTATACTGTCAGCGAACTAGGTTAATTAGAATGAACCTTTGGAGCATTAGCCTACATGGAAACCAAGTGTCGTCACAAGGTAAGGTTAACGTGAGCAAATGTCAGATGTCAAGGTAAAACTGTAAAAACTCTTAAAAGACATGTTCCATCAAAACTAACCTAACAACGATCTATATCCAGATCTTTTAGTAATTTAAATAATCTTTGTAATAGACTGGCTATTTTATTTACCGCTTATTTGTTGTGCTTTTTCCCAAAAATGGCATTTATTTGCGGATCTCCCAGTGTTACTTATTTAAAGTTGTTATGTAGTTAGGATATAATGCTTGTTATATAACTAATTTGAACCCAATTTTCTTTAACAGGAAAAAGCTGATCCACTCATTTAGTCAGAACCATGAAGCTGTTGACGTTTCTAATCTTCTTCTATCCGGCTTTGGCAGTTAATGGTGAGTCTATGAACCAAGAATGCTCTGGGTGAAATTTTTATGTGTATCAAGATGTAGGTATACATAAAGTCTCTTTTTGGAGACTTCCTGGCCCTATTACATTTGCTTATAGAGTAATATGCTATTTTCCAATGGCACATTCAGTTGTCTTACTGCAAATATATCATCAATCTAGGGTCTAGAGGGGAAACTATTTATTCTAGGTTATTGGGTTTATTATGTTGTTTCCCCATTTGTGTCATTCTCAAAATAGGATGATAATTAAATGTTTTGGTGAAAAAAAAAAAAACTTGCACTAAAAATGTTTTACACACAGCCCTTATTATTTAGGGTTTACTTTCCAGAAGATTAGTGCATTCTGATCCTGCAACACACTTATTATTACATCACAAACAAGGTACAACATTACAACTGAAAGGATTGTGTGTTAGTGTTGTGACTTTTGGAGATGCAACTAGTTTAATGTGGTTTAGGGAGTTTGATATATTTTGTTTACACCGTTTTTTTGACTGGACAGATTATGCGTACATCCATAAGTCTATAGGTTCCCGTAAGTCGCTCAAATTGTTTTTGCAACAAACACTCGCCGTTATCACAAAATCTTAACTCATTGACTGCCAGCCGTTTTTGACGATTTCACTGATTCTCAAGACCCACAGAATATAATGTGCTGTGACTATGTGAAGTATGTGAAGCAGATTCTGAAACACTGGGTTTTCTCCTTTCATCAGCAAAAATAAGTTTGGTTTTAGCTATTCTTGTTTTCCTGTAATCCCCAGTTGAAGAGAGGGAAGTGACAGAAACCACTGGTCTCAGACAAATGGCGTCAATGGCAGTTGATGAGTTAAACACAATTAAACCAAGTTCACTGGCTAAAGCCCTGTTCTGTTGTGTGTCGTAGCTGAATGCCCGAGACCCACAGGAGGAGCCAATATGATGCTGGTCACTGACATTTCGTTCCCGGCTCCGGACGGCACTAGTGTCACTTTCAAATGTGAAGTCGGATACAGTCCAATGGGCTCTGGAACCGTCACCTGCTCCAACGGCGTATGGAGTAAACTGGGGATGAAGTGTGAAAGTAAATATTATCCAATTTTGGAAAGTGAATGGTCCTTTAACATTCCATTTTTGAGCTGTTAATTAGCCCACTGCTAAATGTTATGTTGAGACCACCTATTACTGCATTCTAGTGTAATCCCCCCCCCCCCCCCCCCCCCCCAAGGTACTGTATACAGTGCATAATAGTGTAATTCCAGTCTTGTGTGGTGAAATCTTTTATGACGAGTAAGGTGGCAGCCCCAGAAAACATATAATATAATGTATGCAGTCAAAAAACAGACACAAAAATAGACACTGCAGTAGTTACAGGATGTGTGGAATCCTGGCATCGCTACTGTGCCAACTTTCATTTGGTATTTATTTGAATGTTTCTTTACATTTTTCCAGTAAAGTCTTGTGGTGCTGAAGATGTGAGGAATGGATACGTCAAGTACGAGGACAGCGCTGACTTTGGTTCTTTCGCATACACAGTCTGTAATTTGGGGTTAGTCGTTTGGAAACCAGTTACTTATTCATCTGTATTTCCTTTTTTAATTGTTTATTAACAAATAATGTTTTTCCTTATCCTTTCCCTTCAGTTTTACCCCAGTGCCATCGGGAGTAAATAAAATCTACTGCGGAGCTGATGGCTGGGAAGGACGATTGTCTGTTTGTGAACGTAGGTTTATTTTTACATTTAATAAATACCTTAACTTATATGAATCCAATTAGATAAGTGTGGAAAAAGAAATTACCGTTGTGATCTTTTCATAACTACAATCTGTGTTTAATAACAGCTTTAGAAATGCTGTAGAAATGTTATGTTTATGGCTTAATTTAGTACTTACTCTTAGTTTTTGGTATTTTCTCGAATCTAGGTCAAATATTCTACAGTTTTTGACTTAGTAAAAAACCTCAACTTTAAGTCATATATAAACCTGCACTCCCTACTTTTACACTATTGTTAAAAAGATGATGTTTGCAGCAATCTTATGTGAGCCGCCAAATTCAATGGAGAATGGATACTTCAGCCCCATAAAGGATGCTTACGAGCACTCTGAGGTCGTCACGTACGCTTGTGAAGGAGCTCATGTTCTGAAAGGCTCTAAAACCCTAACATGCTCAGACAACGGCACCTTTGATCGTGCACCACCAACTTGTGTCTGTAAGTAATGTTTCATATATCACTACAAAAAGAATGTTATAGAAAAGAAAAATGTATACAGACCTCAATTTGGTCAACTATGATAACTTTCAAAATACTGTGGTGGTCCTTATTTATTGTGGATGTTACGTTTAGCAGCTATATTAAGATATAAAAGTTTGTTTACAAAGTTGACAAAGGTCAATGAAAAGAAGGAAGGTTATTCAATTTGGATGCAGCCTTTTTAAGCTATATTGTTTAAAAAATATTCTTATGTCTAATCACGATGTGTGTGAGACATAAAACTCTTGTATTCTTTAGGCAATCTATTGTGCTGCCTAAAATATACAAATGTTACGTTTAAAATCTATGTCACACTGGCCTAAATATGTTGTTTGTGTTCAATCTCCAGTGGTGAACTGTCAAAACCCTGTGTTGGAATTTGGGAGGATTTCTTCCGGTTCCCCTCCTTATAAGTACCAGACGTCGGTTTCATTGGATTGTAATAAAGGCTACGACCTGCTGGGCTCCAGTGTTGTTTCCTGTGACATCAACAGCGAGTGGAAGCCCTCGCTTCCAAAATGCAACCGTAAGTACAACTACTGCCAAATGTTCTGCAAAAACAATACTTTATTATTATTATTATTATCATAAAAAAGCCTTTATGGACAAGTGTTGAAAATTAGCATGGTGTTGCTATAACACTAAAGACAGTGCATCTGGTCTGTCCAATGTAACTGTTGTGTCCATATCCAATAAATAAATACATGTAGTAGTATTATTATTATAGGTTTAGGTATTTTGGACTAGGACTAACCAATAGAAGAGAAACATGGTCACAAATATCTCCAGTTCAAAATGTCTGGGGATAAGGACATCAAAATTTAATAGAACAATGGTGGCTTTGTATTTACAGCCTCATGTTCAGGAAAAGGTGGTACTTATTGTGTAATGGTGGAAGTTGCTGTTGACATCAGTGCAGTGTGCAATCATTCATGGAACAAAGCCTTTCCAATGGTTTTTTTATGTTTAGTGGAGAAAATCAAACTTAAAAAATGTATGTGTGTATTAATGTATTATTGGGACGACTTGATCTAAGGTTGTGTTTATCACTTACCTTCTGTGTGTTAGAAACTTTTGGGTGCCTTTTTGTAGTTGCCCAACATTTCTGAATCTTTGTGATAAATCGGTGATGCTTCACAATTACTTTTCATAACTTGAATAAATGTGATGCGATCAGGGAAAACCCATCACATCCTGAAATTTGACCAATTTAAGATTCTGACACAATTTTAAAGCTGATTTCAATCTCTTTTCAAATCTGTTTTCCTTTTTTTCATAGCAGGTCTGTAACAAAAGTTATCATTATCTGAAGTCAGCGTATTCACATGGTTTTATGAAACAGAATTCTGAGAGAAACTGTCCGCCTGTCTATGGTCCGCGCTCGGAATCCCGTTAGTGCGTTCACTGAGCTGTCATAGCGGGTGTCAAACAGCGGCCGCAGCTGCTCCCGGGGTCAGAGCGGAGGATGTAACATAAAGTTCGGTTTATCAAAACATATCACAATTTTTAATGTATAAAACTAGTGAATTTCACCTAGATATTTTCAGAAATTAAAGACAAGACGTTATATAATAATTATTTAATGAAAACACAATTTAGCCAAAAAAAAGACACTCGACCTATTTTCACTGTTTACTCGGAACATGCTAGCGCGACATCCGACGGGTTTTCCCAGATCGCATCACAAATAGTCTTCATTTTTCTCTCTGTCCACAGCAATTGAATGCAAGGCTCCAGAAATCCCGAACGGTGAGGTGGTGGGCAAGCCTGACCTCTCATACAAGTTCTCGGAAAAGGTGACGCTGAAGTGTCTTGAGGGATACAAGTTAAAAGGACAGAGCACACTGACGTGTGGAGAGAAGAGCCAGTGGTCTGAGCCTCTTCCTGAATGTACACGTAAGTCACACTGCATTAGGATATTATTCTCATGAACAGATTATTCTCACAGTTGGATTTGATATAGACAAAAAAATCTTCCATGTAAGAATGACTTCAAAATTATCATCGCTGTATAAAGTACAAGCGCAAAAATCTGCTTGGTCATAGTGGCGGGTTTGTATTTTTTACGTTGCTCAAAGGGAAAAACTGTTTTTAAAATCCATGAAAAAAAGGACAGAAATTATTTTGATGTCATTAGCATTTAACTTTTGTCACTACTTGTACATAGTCTTCTCACTGTGAGTAGTTGAAGTACAAGTAATTATCATTTAAGTATGGTAAGATAGTACTGTAAAATATATAATTGTGGCAAATAGTATAATGGATATTTCCTGAGTATTTCTACTGGCCTTTTGTTAATGGATTACTTAAGTAATCCATATCAATCTGTTTGAACATTGTGATGTTGACCCAAAACAGTTTTAACTGGTAGGGCTGTCGCGGTTGAGGATTTTCACCTGCGTTCAAAATATGACACGGCAGTATTCAAGATTTTAACTATTGAGTCATCAACTACAGTGCATTCATAATACAAATATACCTAAATAACAGTCTTTAACTTCTTCCACTTTCCTGGTGGATCGATAGACACACAGGCCGCATTTGAAATAATCTGTTGTTATAATTGGGACAACATTTGTTTTGTGCAGTGATCTACGTACTACCAAAGAATATTAATGAGTCACTTCTCAAAATGTATTGCCTCCATATTGACTAATTTTAGAGCTTGAGTTATTGGAAAATTGCATGCTATTAACTAGCCTCTAATTCATTCATACAACACTAAAGCGCTTTTACTAACAGTCATGTCTAATCGGTGTGTTGTCTGGTTTAATATGCATGAGACAATGGACTTCCAGACTCGTATCTCGAGCTGCAATTAATGATAGTTGACCCATGATTCTTTCAATCAATTGATTAGTTGCAATAAATCAATAAACTTGTTACAAGCCTAGTCCAATCTCTTACATCTACAATCAGAAAGATTGAGTGAATGTAGTCATGATGAAAAGAGTAAGCTGAAGGATTGGATAGTGCTGTAGAACTGTCTTGTCTATAGCTGCGTTTCCATTGAGCATCAAATTTCGAAATTTGAATTTGCGCATCATAAAATGTCTAATGGAAACGCGCAAATTTCGAATAAACCACAGTTTTTTGATAAAAAGTTAATGCGCTTAAAATCGGTGGTTTTTTGGACGTATCGAAATTAAGTTTTTCGCAAAACGGCAATGGAAACACTTATTTCGATATAGCGGAGGAAGCCGAGCTGAGCTTTATTCAGTGAGTTTTGGCTGCGCTTCGTGTGGAGACTTGGGAGAGGCATGGGGGAGAGGCATGGGGGAGAGGCATGGGGGAGAGACGGGGGAGAGACGGAGACAGGCAAGACCCGTGTCTATGGTTCTGTGCGCGCGTCTATGGTCCGCGCTCGTTACATGACCACGCGCGTTCGCGGAGCTGTCAAAGCAGCCACAGTTTCTCCCGGGGTCAGAGAGCATGAGAGCCGCAGCAGAAGTCAAGACATTAATATATCTCACGTAAATCAAAGTGTTGTTTACTTCTGTTGCCATGTTGACGTACTAGAAACTAGTGAATAAACGCGCGAAAATAGTGTATACTTATTCGAATATGTCTTAATGGAAACAGCCGCTTTTGCGAATTACAGGTTTTTCGAATTTTGAAATGTATCGAAAAAGTTTTTGCGCATTATTCAATGGAAACGCAGCTTATGACTTGGTTTCATATTGTCTTGGTATTTTCTAAGTCTAGTCTGTACCATTAGAGCCAACACTGTTTTTCTTGTTCATCCTGTCTTCCTCTGTTCGTAGCGATACAGTGCATGACTCCCAAAGTGGAGGGAGGGGTGTTGGTGGGTGGTCCCCGTCCCTCTTATGCTTACAAGGACTCTGTATTGTTTGAGTGCGTCTCTGGATATGCTATGACAGGAGAGGGAAACCTAACCTGTGATGACAACAGTCAGTGGTACCCCAAACTGCCAGTGTGTACGCGTAAGTCCATCCACCGTCCAGAAAAGTAGATTTATTCTTGCACTGTCAGCTGTGACTTCCAGCTCATGTTGAGACTGTCAGGTTTTCTTGGCTGATCAAATGTTTCTTTAGCTGTAGTTATTGAATGCGAGGTCCCCGAGGTAAAGAATGGCCGGCTTTTGGAGGGTTGGCGTCCCTCGTATAAGTACCCGGACTCTGTGGTGTTTGAATGCCAAAGTGGATACACAATGAGCGAAGCCAGTGCCCGGTCGACGTGTGCCCTTGATAGTCGGTGGTCTCCAGAGCTCCCACAATGCACACGTAAGCGCATAGTTTTAGAGTCCAAAATGGTTGATTCCCTGAGCTCTATTGTATGCTTCACAAAACGAAAACTGCAATAAATCCAACATGCATGTTTATAAATTATAAGTTCTATACCACCAGCCTTTTGCTTTAAACAACAAACACGGGTAATGAACGAAATGTAAGATGGAAACGTTTACTGCCACAGTGTGTCTGTATTGAGATGTTATTGCATATCTTAGCAAACAAAAGCCCAAGTAGACGCTTTCAAATGGTGAAGTTTATTCTGTACTCAGGACATGCAAGAATGTATATCCCTCACAGCACACAAATATAAATTATAAATTGAGCAGCATTATCAGGAATTGGGGGTTATTTTTTTCACTGTAAGAGATCTTTCTCTTTACCAGCGCATGTTTTAAAAAAAAATGCCATAATTACATTTTGGGGGTCAGCTGTGAACTTCTAAAACAAGACCTGTTTTTTTTTTTTTTTTTTTTATTTCCTTTCTTCTGTCATTTCTTTCATTATTCCACAATCTTCTGGCTGCCAGTATAATCACTTCCTCACTAATTTCTCTCGCTTTATCATTTTATGCTTATCACACATTTCTTTGTCCACATCTTGTAATATACACAACTTGTTTTACAGGGAATGGTGGAGAGGGACTAAAGATGGGGCTCATCATATTGGCTGGTAAGTGTGCATTATATTTACTATGACACTATTATCAGCTTTTCCCAGGTTCTATACCATCTGAATTTAGTCCTGATTTATGTGGTTATAAGTGGCTATATGCTGCAAATAGAAATGTTTTTATTCAGTTGTTCCATAGAAAAAATACACCTAAGCACATTTCTAATACATGTTTCTATATGTTCTATCAGCTGATGATCACTGGTATGATTCAGTAATCATCAGCCTTTTTCTACTGTTCATATCAACCTCCAATATTATTGAGGGGCAATAATATCACATTCATCGCAACAATCCCATAATCTGTAATCTGTGGTTTAATATTATTCTAACGTCCCGGATCTGCAAATAATCCAAATAATTAGTCTAAGTTTTAGGCACTGGTAACTGTCCATGATTTATTATTTTAGATAATGTGGCACGTGCAAAAGCAGTATTTAATTCGTATATCTTATTTTCTTATGAAATGGTTTATAATTCTATCAGCTCTTTGTCCCTTTGTGACCTGAATCCGCGTGTTTACTCATCAACATCCCTGATCTCTGCGTTCTGTTCGCAGTGGAGGGTTATCGTAAAGTCATTTCTCAGTATAAATGTGATCTCTCAAATGTCTTGTAGTCCTTATCGCCATTTTAATTGGATGTTGCATTGTCTGGAAGCTACTAAAGAAAAGGAAGCGGTAACATTTATTTTTAAAGTTTATTAAAATCTCAGCTCACTTGTATCTTCTGGCATAACCATCTTCTCTGCACAGCTTTCATTCTACACAGCTTTTATTCTGCACACGCATGGTCTCGTTTGGGTCTTTTCTGCGCTCTCGGCTCTAGTGTGTGTTTGTGTGTTTAATGTTTTAGTTTGTTAGTATGTTCCTTATCCAATCCGCTATACTCATTCTAAGGCATTCTTCAACACAGGACCCTACAGCACAAAAAATGATGATTTGGCACATTTTAATTTAATAAACAAAACTATAATGTGAAATTGCTGTTGTTTTACAGCCCAATTGAAAATCCTAAATATCGATACCAGTTTATGTTTTTAAGCCTTAACTCTTTAGGTGCCAAACCAGAAGAAACTCCATGAGCATCTCGCTTCCCACAAAAAATTTTTCTCATCTCTTTGTCGTTTTATTTGTTTTTGTTTCTGATTTTAGTCTCCTATATCGTTTATTTAAAAAAAAACAAAAAACGATATAACTACTAAACTAAAGGGTTGCCATGGCGAACATTGCGTGAGTTTATGGTTTCCTGTTTGGGTGTGAACATTGGAGTAATATCTGGTTGCTTTGTGTTGGAGAATGTTTTCAGCAGTCTTTATTTTTTCCTGTAAAGAATGTGTTTTCTGGAAATGGCAGTTTTCATATTCATTTTTCTAAAGCCCCTGTTTCCATTTTTTTTTACAACCAAATAACAAATTGTATAATAACCAAATGATCTCTCCTGTTTTACAGTAAGTATGTGACTTTTTTTGACAAATTGCCCTGTTTGCAGACTTGATGCTACTTAGAAGAATGAACTTGCCTATCCTTGATGAGTAGAAGTAGTAAATGGTGGTGGAGGAACTTTTTCTTTTGTGATGGATGGTGGATCGCTGTGTGCTGTGCTGCATATTTAAACACCCATTATGTGTGTATAGAAGATAATTCTAAATATTATACATTCTGATGAGTCATTGTTGGATTTCAGCTCTGGGAAATCCTTCAGAGAAGTGCCAAACCAGGCAGAATCTGTAGCACTCTCGGTAAGAAGAAAATGGGCTGCCATGTTAACGTTTAAGAAAAAATATTCAATAGAACAAGGATTTACATTCTACCACTATCTGCTACTAACTTATAAAAATTCAGAGGGATTTTCCAGGGAAAAAACAAAGATCAAAATCAGTTTTGTTAGATTGAGGATCACCTCTAATCTGGGAGGAGTCAAAAAGAGGTGGTCTTCATTGATGGCAAAATTCGGCCCACTCTTGCAATAGTGCAGCGGCAGTAATGACAATCCAGGAAGGTAGAAAGCACATTTACTATATAGCACATTTCATACAAGGCTATAACCAGTTGGGCTTAACAAAGATCATGTAATAATATAAATCAAAAGACATTTTACAAACCCACAACTCATCTACAGATCTATTTAAGTTTTACACAAGGAGCAAGAAATCTTAGGTCCAGGGATCTGAGGCTGTGCACAAAGAACAAGTAAATCCTAAATATATGAGGGGCCCAGGTTGTGAAGTTTAAATATGAGCTCTTTTTCCTTCTCAGATTTAGAACGGAGCAACGGCATTTTGCATGAGCGGTTGTCATTGGATTGATTTTAAAGGGACGTCAGTCTATTCCAGAGAAATCCACAAATATTATAAATTCAAACCATGGCTTTAGAAAACCAATTCTGCTACATGTTCCAACAGACCTTTTCTCCGTTTCTCACAGTATTTAACAATTCTTCCTCCAATAATTCACAGGCCTTCTTTTGCAGGACTAAACCACTTTCTCTTTATTTAGCGGATCTCTTTTGACCTGTTGTTTTCTTGTTTGTGTTTGTAGTAAGTTTTGTCGCCCAGTGGCTCCTGCATCCCCTGTATTAGGGCACATGAAGTAAAGGAGATCTCCGTTCTCGTGCTCGACTCTCCTGAGCTTGAATGGCACTTTTTCTCATTGCGCTCAGGACCTCCTGAACTGCATGTGAGCGGTCTGGAGGTCAGAACTTTTTTGTATTTTTTTTTAACAATACCACTTTATTGAACAACTGAAATCCTGTGTATAGAAAAGAGAAGGCCGACAAAGTATTTCTTTCTCCTGCTCCATGGAAAGTCTGAAATAATGAAGAATTTAGGCTGGGGCTCACCAACCCTCCTTCTACAGATTTTAGTTTATGCTTTGAAACACACAATCGTCCAATTGGAAACGGGTGCATGGTGTCCTTCACTGGGCTGCTGTGGTCAGAAGTGAAGCGACCAATCAGAGCACCTCTTAGTGATCTCAAGTATACTCGCTGATTATACTTGCAGAAACCAGTCCTGTGAAAAATGACCCATCTTTGCTGCCAGCTTTATACGATCAATATTGCACCTTTTAAGGTAAATATCAATGTCTATTTGATGTCGGACTCTAATGTCTTCAGACCATATTGAATGAGCTCCCTATATTCAACTGTGGGAGAAGTAGCAAGCGAACGTCTACGAGCGCTTCTGTAGAAGTCTAAATTGGACTATTTCTAAATATCTGGACAGTATTGTGATTAAGATGTCCACTTTGTTTAAACAGGATAAAAGTATTCAGTCATACAATCATACAGTGCCCCTTTCTGCCATCAAAATAAAAATCTAAATAAAATGAAAAAAACTAGACTGTCCCCAACATGCTACTTCAGAGTGTAATTCTTTGAGCTTTTGATATTTTCATGCATCTGCCCCGCAATGAGAGTTTTTGGTGTGCATTACTTCCTTCTACATAATTTGACAAAATTTTATTTATTTTGTGTCATGTATTAATCCACACAGATTTAGAGTTGTGTGTGTAGACTGTAATCTAGGACTTAAGACCCACTCTACACAGTGAGTGCAATCCAAAATCAAAATTACAAATGTATCAACATGTGTATCAATTTTTATTTATTCCCATTATTTACAAACAGCCACCTGCTGGTGTTTAACTCTAGATCACACATGTTTCATCAAACCACTTTCTGATAAACCCTTTCATGCACTGTTCTCACGGCCCACATGTCCTGCTCTCATTTAAAAATGTGTCAAAATGCATTTCATGTCTAGAAGCGAGCTTGCACTGGAATGATTTCCTTTTTATAGGTTATTCAATAACTACTTTTGTAAATTTGGGCAGAGTTGTTGATTTTGTTTTAAATTCAGAAGGACAGTTTGTTGATTTTTACCATCTTCATCATAGTTCTTTTGAAACATTGCACCTTGCTTTTATTTGTTCAAAATAAAAATTAAAAAAATAGTTTTATAATATGTTGTGGAATGTGTTGGCTTGTAACTGATGGTTACTAATGCTTTTGTAAAGAGCTTGTGATTCAGAACATCAAATAAACAAACAGAAATGTGTGTGAAGTTGTTCTTATCTTTTGTCTTAGGGCACTTGGTTTTACTGCATGTGTTTCAGGGACATTTCTCACGACACTCATTTCTCCTTTGTAGTAAAATACAGGGGAGAAGTCATACTCCCCATTTTTTTTGCCTAGAAGTCAAATCAGGTTAACACCCAAGATGAAGGTTAAATTACTGCTGAACACTAAAACCACAACTAGTAAATTAGTTTAGATGATCGATAAATGAATACAGTCATTCATGTATTTGACAATGGTTTTTTCATACGGGGAAATGCATAAGTAAATGATTGTCCAGTTTATTATACATTTATAGTGCACAATTTATTCACACGGCAACTCCCAAATGCTTTCCAAAACAACAAATCATAAAACACAAACCATATAACTTGGACATGCTCGTCAGCGCGTCGATACTGTCCTTCATTGTAACCGATTTCAAATGGTGCTAGAAAATATACAGACTCAAGCACCAGGAGAAATCAGTCAACCTTGGAGAGAGGACACGTCTGGAAGCGGTCTCGTCTCTGGAGGAACACGGGACGCAGGCAGCTAGGAAGTACTGGCCCTTTGATGTAGAGGGACAATACTGAATCTGTGTAGAGGCCGTTTGGAAGAATTGTATGGGATTCTTAATTATCTTCTGAAATAAGTAACACAACTTATGTTGCAATTTTTTGATGCAAAAAAACTATTGGGAAAAGATAGAGCTTTGTCTGATTAGTGACTAGTTTCCATACTGACTATATTAATTGAAAAAAATAATTGTTCCCGCACACTGCTGTCCTTGCAAAAATTATTGTTAATGGAAAATGTTACGTTTTGGTCCCGAGACCTTTATCAGGCAATGTGCTTATTATTGAAACATGATAGGTCACTACTTACAATACTACATTTCCCTCCCATTTTAGTCAAAGTGCATTTAGGTTGGAAAGCTCATATAAATGTCTGACTGACATGCAGAATGATGAAAATACAATATTTTAGCTTCATCCGTGCATCGTCAAAATCCAGTCTTTTCGACCCGTAGTTGTGGTGAAATAAAGCTCTGGCCCATGGAACACTGATTTCAAATGGTGCTAGATGGATGACTGGACTCTACGCCACCATCTGAAACCAGCTTCCAGAGGAGGCACATCTTACTGGGAGCAGGGGCCGATTCTTCTGCAGAGCGCTTGGGGCAAAACAAAAGGTTAACAAACAAGCAATAAAATAAGAATTCAAATATACAGTAACATAACAATCAGATCTTTTACCCGCTTGTTCCTCTTTCTCATTAAAATTTAGCGTGTGTGTTTTTAAATTGTCTGCTATGTATTTATTTGATGCAGGTTTGATGCCATACTATGGAATATTCAAGTAAGAGTAGTTTGAGACGAGCAGATGTGCACCTTTTAGACACTAAGTTATCTTTTGCTGGGTAACAACAGCGGGTAAACTTAGTTATCCACACACACTTTCTACAGCTCATCTTGGGGAATCCTGAGCCGTATATTAAGAGTTATAGAGATCCAGCGTCTCTCCAGGTGTTTAGGAACCATCTGAAACATAAAAACATTACTTGGGTACACATTAAAACAGCTGTATTTTTAGTTTATTTTGTTTTGTTTTTTAGCAATGGACAAGGACATATTATTATATTATATATGTATATATAATATATATTTTAAGACAAACTTGACTCTTGTTTAATTATTTTGGCATTAGGAAGTCATTCTTCATATTCAGCCCTTTAACATTCACTCCTTGAAGAAAGTAATGTATTTTTTATTGTTTTGTTTTTATCTAAGATATAGGTGCACTAACAACAAAAGTAATATGTTTATACGATTTGTGATGCGATCAGGGAAAACCCATCACATGGTGAAATTTGACCAACTTCAGATTCTGACACCATCTTTAAGCTGCTTTCAATCTCTTTTCTAATCGGTTTTCCTTTTTTTCATAGCATGTCTGTAACAAAAGTTATCATTATCTGAAGTCAGCGTATTCACATGGTTTTATGAAACAGAATTCTGAGAAAAACAGGTTTAAAGATAGACATTCTAAATAGAATCACCACAATCAAATATAACATGTTTAATATGAATTACTCTGTTCTGGCTCACACTTATTTTACTCACCATGTTGTAAAAGATAAATAAATGTTACTTTGGCACCAATTAAACACACAACACTCATGAATTAGATGAAAATCAAGAATGATTTCAAAATTTAATGAATTGAATTTGTTTTATGAAACTTTTCTAACTCTTCTTTTTTAGTGTCTTTCTCTTTATAAGTTACTGAACATTATATATGTATTAGACAAAGCCAGTATTATTCTATCCAATCACGCAGTATAAATATCCACAACCACCAAGCATTTTTAATGCAAGAAGAAAATTAGGTACCCGAGCTTTAATTTCGTGAGTGCATAGGAGACACGGGGGAGACCTGCACTTGCAACAAGCTGGGGATTGTCTGAACACGTGTCAATGGTTCTGTCCGCGTATGATTCTGTCTATGGTCCGCGTGTCTATGGTCCGCGTATGGTTCTGTCCGCGTGAGTCTATGGTCCGCGTTCACTGAGCTGTCATAGCGGGTGTCAAACAGCGGCCGCAGCTGCTTCCGGGGTCAGAGCGGAGGATGTAACGTAACGTTCGGTTTATAAAAACATATCACAATTTTTAATGTATAAAACTAGTGAATTTCACCTAGATATTTTCAGAAATTAAAGACAAGACGTTTTATAATAATTATTTAATGAAAACACAATTTGATGACACAAAAAATGACACTCGACCTATTTTCACTGTTTACTCGGAACGTGCTAGCGCAACATCCGACGGGTTTTCCCAGATTGCATCACATTTTTTCTTTTTTTAAACCCCTATTTTTTTTCTTTTGTTTTATTATAGGCCTTTACCAAATGGTTGCAATACAGTTTGATGGTAAAAGTGCCTAAAACCAAGTGAGATGCCCCAATGAGGGGTTCCAAATTAAAAGTAGATATATTGACTCAAAAGGTGATCTACCAAATGGTTGAGGAAACCGTTGAAATGTTAATTGAAGGTTTGACCGATCACTTCTATGACCTTCGATGTAAAATACATTTTAAAAGGCACTCACAATCATACAAAGTCAGATTCAGATTCATTTCATTTTATTCAAGTCAAATAGATAAATAACACAACCCTAAAGTGACGTAGCTGGATGTATTTACAGTTGCAACCCGGAGTTCTAATTTGGCCCTGTGTAAATGTTCGGTTCCAACAGTATATATATGACTCAATATTATCTCTGTTTTCATTTATGTCACGCCCTCACAGTTTGGCTATTGAAACAAAAACGTCTGGCTCATGACTTGTTTCTATCCAGTGGAAATGATGGCAAGCAGGAATGAGGGAAAGAAAACAAAATAAATGGAGGCAGTAAAGCCATTGTAAAAGCGTCTCCCCTCCTTCCGACATGTGAGGCGTGTGCGTAGTGTGATGACCTCACCCTTTGACTCAGAGCCCCTCGGTCACCACTGCTCCCATTGAAAAAGCAGCAGAATGCGTCAAACCAGTCTCCGGAACTGGGAGGGAATTTGGAGCCGACACCGCTGACGCAAACTGTAATAAAGAAATAAAGAAATAAGGAGAAGTTAGGGTGAGGCAAGACTGTGCCTTTGTGTTCACGATGAGTGGAAAGTGCAACTTAGAACTAAACAATACAAGTCCTGAGATAAAACAGTACAGAAGGGACATAGTAAATTCTTTTTTGAGACTTAAAGGGATGATTTTGTACGTGATGAGAGCCACAGTACCATACTTCACTTACACATTCACATCCATTATCAATCAATCTAGAATAAGGTTATTATTCTAGATCAGGTGTCTCCAACCTTCACCCAGAGAGCTACTTTCCCGGGTCGATAAAGGCAGCAGAAAGCTACTCCTTTAAGCGGCCCTTGGAAGAAAATGTGGTGATATATTGGTGTGAACAAGCCTGATATTGGGAACAGTGATTATTTATCATCATATATGGGTTACTAGTGCACAAAGTAAGTGAATTTACAATAATACATTATGAGAATGAATAACACAATCTGAAATATTAAGTATATTATTTAATTTTTTCTAAATCCTTTGGCGAACTACCTGGAAGGGGGTGGCGAGTTACTGGTGGGAGACCCCTGCTCTAGATTTTGGTATCTTTTGACATGAATACATGATGTGCTTATGTGACCAAGATATATATATTTTTTCATTGACAATAAGTTTTAAGGGAAAAAAACATGAAACATTTAGACAGGAGAGAATTTTTGGTAAACTCCTAAATCCAATTAAAGCTGGAGTACCTTTGGAGTACATGTTTTTTGTCCCAACAGAACGAGGTTTGTAAAAGTAAAATGTGAACAAATCAGACCACAACATGCTGTCTTCATCTCATTAGAAAAGAAACAATTCAACTTTTGCATACTCTCTGCCAGTCACTATTGGACACTTTGGGCTGAGATCTGATAAGCTTAGTGACGGTGATCATCTTTTTTTTACTTTTCTGTCTGATAATGCCGATTTAAAGATGGAACAGAGGCCAAAACCATGCATCCATCTGAAAGCATGCATTCAGATGGATGCACCAAACTGAGGCAAGAGCGAGGAACTTCTAACTAGTTTTTCTGGTTTGAAAATTAGGTAACCAAGCTTTAATTTAAATCATCTAGAAATAAATGTTTTGTAGTGAACACAGCTCAACCGTTTTGTTGGTTTGCTTTTCATTCGATTAAATTCAATTTGATCAAAATCTTGTATAGCCCTAAATCACCACAGTATTTACCTCAAATGACTTATGTTGAATTTGCCAACACAGAGCAGAGAATCAAATATAAGAAATGCAATGATAAAAAATCATAGAGCCATTGGTCCATAAGGGGAAGATGATCAATGTCCATAAATGTTGTTGAATGTTGATTGTCCTGGATCATCACAACAGAACCTCCTGCATCGGCAAGGAAAAAACTATCAAACCCAATGGGGAAACAGGTGAGTGTGTACAGGTTTACACACTTACTGCGCTTGACAATCTGCTCTCATTATTACAGAAGACATATAATATTTTAAGTGTATAAAACGTCGGCATAATGAATAGTTGTGTGTGCCGGCCTCTCCCACTCACAGTCTGCACCCTGTTTACAATGGGCGCTGGCACCATGGAGAGTGATTCAGCAGGACTCAGGAGATGCCAAAGCTCTTCATGTTCAATGAATTTGCATTTTTCCAGCCAAAGGAAATGTCTGAGGGCTACAAGAGTGCTTATCGAGATTTCCAATGGACCGCACCACCCTGGTTTAAAGCTTTTAGTCCTTTTTAAAGCATTATATTTGGAGTTAGGAACAGAGAAGCAATGATTTAGTCTCTCCACTCTTGCTTTTCATTGTCATTGGGTTTGTATAGAAAATTGATTGTAGATGTATGTCACTGGCTTCATGATTGCAACATCTCACACCAGATACATACAAGAGCAGATTAAACACACTTCTCCCCATGATAATTATTTGGATAAATCTTGTTTTGTGCCTCTGACTTTATACCTCCTTCTGTGTAATTGTTGGCTGGTCTCCACCTCTGGCGATAATGGAAAAGCAGTGTCTGGATGTCTCGGCCCACCCCCTTCGCTCCTGTCTTTTTTCGGGTTGTTTGTTGCTCATGTGCTCTGGACCTGTTGCGTAACACTTATAAAAGATTTAAAGGGACAGCAAGCGTTTTCACAGCGGTCAATGACAGAATACAGGGAGAAAAGTGGGCATCATGAAAAATACACACAGTACGTCTATACAGTGGGAACAGATGTAGTGTCGATGTCTGCCAGACCAAACAGGGTCTAAACCGGGTCTAAACTAGGCCAAAGACTTGAAGGACACACTTTAGAACAGAAGGAGGATGTATTAGTCTTAGGGTCTTAAGGATGGACACAAAACCAACTCTGGTATGAGTTAAAGTATTGAAACAATTCCCTTACTTAAAAGGTACAGAGGAGGATTTCCCCAAATTTTAGGAAAGAACTGTCCTCTCCACTTTTTGGAAAAACTCTCTTGTCTGGTCTTGTTTGACGAGCACAAATCACCAGAATGATTGACAATTAGGAGGACCAACAGTCTTGAGGATCCACCCGGATGTAGAAAATCCTCCTCTATTTCTTCAAAAAGGAAATATTATGCATTATTTTTTACCTTAAAATGATGGTCAAGTTTTAGAATTAGACTTAGAAGTCAAAATTGAACATTTCCAGCTGCAACCACAGCCATGCGATTTGTAAAGAACATCATTTCCAAGACCTTTCCAAATCTAATTTATGGATGATACTTTTGTTGTGAGTGTGATGTCAGTGGTACAATGACATCATACTATTACTGGCCTGAGACAGGAGCTTTTAGACAGAAGAGGTGTAGTTACATGTTTGTGCCAACATTTCCTGATATTAGCACGGATGGGTTTAAAAACAACTCCAGGTCTGATTTTGATTCAGATCCTAGAGGCCCCTTGTCTTTGGTTTAATTATTATCTTTCAGATAATCTTATTGGTCAAAAATTATGCCAAGGGGAGGGACTACTCTAAATATAGTATTGTTGGAAAATACTGATTGGACACAGTAGTACAGTGCTTATTATTTTAAAAACAAAATACAGTTTATGTTCCTGATTTTAACTTTGACTCAATTGTATCTTTTTGTCTTTCAGTCATTCCAAAGTTAGTTACTTCCTTTGCCTTTTACAACAGAACATGAGGCTGAATGGTCTGAACTTAAAAGTGCAACAAGACATAATTCATTCATTCACTTAGAAGCACGGCTAACCCATTCAAACCTATGCTTATGCCGTGTTGCTGTTTGAAACGTCATATAGAAAGTAAGGAGTAACACATCTCAGAAAAAAAAGTTTCTTGCCACCGCTACGTTTTAATCATTTCAACAGTGAACATAAAAAACCCATTGTCACAAAATAATACCACAAATATTACAACACTTCACAACTGTGGTAGTGTAACCCATACATTGAAACTAACTCAGGACTTTCCACAAAATGAGTAATATTTTGAGTAATATTTTCTATTGCCACAAAACCAGGTCTTGCTCAGAACTGAACCAGGTCTGGCTCAGAACTGAACCAGGTCCTCCTCAGCACTGAGCTAGGTCTTGCTCAGGACTGGACCAGGTCTGAGTGACGTCCAGTCCAGTCCGCCATCGTAACCCGTGCTGTCTCATTTCTAGGCCATTTCTTTCCCCCCGACATCTTCCAAATGGTACTGCTCTTTCTTTATAACTCACATTTGTAAAAGGAAGAAGCTAAGTTATTTCATCAGCACTTTTAGCACGGGGGGGAAATTGGCTGCCTGGTGCAATGCAGACTACAGCGCTCTCCTGCATCATTTTAGAAAAAACAAGGTGACATTTCTTAATTTGTACTTGTATGCAACATGACCGCCGCACTTGTGAGTCCGAACCGTGGGCTTGTCTTGTGACTCGCAGGCTATAAATGAATCGGCTTTAAAGTAATGACTTGCTGTTTACTGAAATGAAATCCAACACCAAAACTAAATCAAGCCCTATCATAGATCATCACAGATTAGAATTTGACTGTGAACAAACAACACTTATTAATTTACTTCAGTCTTATACCACACTTGTGCATCAATATTCCAACACTTAATGTCTACTAATCTGTCATGCTATGCTAAAATCTTTTATGATCTTTAAACCTATGCTTTAAACCACTTTATGATGAATACTTGAATTAAAACTGCAGATAACACTCAGGTTTTCCATTAGCAGTTAAAAAGCATTTCATTTATTCTTAAAAATCTTCTAATTCTTATTGACACCAGTAGATAGCGATGCTGACACAATTGCTGCTAGTTTTCTAGACACATGCGTTAAATGAGGTTTAAGGTATTCTCATATAGCCTATGTAGAATGGACAATGCTAATCCACTAGCTTTTATGCTGCCTGTGAGAAGTGAAAAGTAAAAATCTGCTATCTTTGTAATCATTTGGGTTTCCATTTTGGACACAAAAAACCAAGTTGCTCACATTTTGATAATGTCTTAGTAATTGCAGGTATGGGACATTTCTAACAACAAACCAATCAGACCAATGGCAATAGACCAGTGTCTCTTCTGATTGGTTCTTTTGGTTGCTAGGTTGTTGCTACCCATACATTTGGCTCCGTAGAAATCACCCATGGCTCTAACTGGCTTCTGACATCAGGGCTTGTTTAGTCCACTCCTTCTACAGATTATGGCTTTAGCTGATGGAGGAAACCGGAGCACCCGGAGGAAACCCACCCTAACATGCAAACTCCACACAAAAAGGCCCACAAACTACTTGCCATGATGTATGAGTGAAAACCATTCTTAAAGTTCTATGCCATGGAAATATTGTCTCATCCTCTATACATGACATTAACTCCTGAAGTACCTGGACCACAGTTTGCACACCACTGCACTCTGTCCTCAATGAATAAAGCTCTAATCAAAAATACATAGAATCAGAATCCTTTTATTGTATTGCGTTATGTGAGTAACAGGAAGTCACAAACTAGGAAAGTGCTTTGGCTCTTGATGCAAACTAGTTAAAGCAGAATAATAAAATAAAAAAAATAAAAAATGTGCCAATTTATGAAGTACATTCTCATTTTCAGCTGCAAGGCAAATCTGAGCCACTCCTGCATCACATGACCACCTCCCCAGCCCAGGAAGTTCAGTGCATGAGAACTGGAGTGATGCCAAACCGTGTCACCAGGGGAGCAAGGTAAACAAGCCAGCTAACACGCACGCACGCACACACACAAACACACACACACACGCACGCACACACACACACCTTTTTAACCATAAATACACACTTCCTCTTTCTTTCTGAGCTGCTGATGTCATGACTTTTTATCCATTTCCTTCTAATTTCACTCAGATAAAGGACAAGAAGCCACTCTCTGCTTGATACAGGCTGTGCTGCATAAAAGCAAAGTTCACAGCGTCACCATTCCAGTTGTCCGGGAGACTTGTGGACAAACTCAGCGGCTAATGGAGTGGAAAATAGAATGGTGGTGCAATAGATCTATTCGGAAATGTAGAAACAAGGTCCACATCAAATCTGTATATCTGTAGAACCTATAACTTCTCTTGAACGGAATTTGGGTCAATTTGGTCCAAGTAAAAATCTATAAAAATGGCTTTGAATAAAATGTCCCGAGCATAAACACGACAGCTCAATATTAATGGTATTTTATTGGCAAAAATACATACAATTACTCCAAAGTGTGAATTCTAGTCCAAACAACAAGCTGAGAGGATTATCTATGGCCCTCTCGATGAACAACAAGCAAATTATTCGCAATTTGTAATAACTGCATCTCTATTTTAACACGTTTTTTTGCACTTGAACGCAGAATCTACTTAATTTGGCAATTTCCATGTAATATTAGGCCTGGCAACATACATGAACATCAAAACAGTTTTTAAAAGATTAGTACCAGGATACAGTAAAAGACAGTTTAAATCTGCTCCATTTTTTACAAACAATACATTTTGCTTTCATCTGTAATGCAAAAATAAACAACAGATTATCGTAATAGAAAGTGAGCTTCTTTGCTTGTCCTACGAACCGCTCACACAAGGTTGTAGCAACACTTATTATATATATTTGCTTTTAACAAATTACATTTTTAAACCAGCCTCATAAAGGGCCCGTTCCACAAAACGGCTTGAAAAAGAATTCAAAGCAATTCAATCATTAACAAATTGCAGCCATTTCCTCACTTTTCCCACGTACTAATTATTCACAAAATTTTCTGAACCCACAGCGCAGTTTGCAGTCACTGACAGACAGTAATAATATGAATATTATAACAAAAAAGAACAAAACACAAACAGCTGCCCTTAGGAACGCAACCGAACCAATATTCTCAACAACAACAACATGAGCTTCTCAAACAGCTTTGGTTGATTGGTTAAATTCCGCAATGGGTTTGACCATACTAGCTTACTGTAATGAGTGGAATGTTGATAACCTCAAACAATATGGCAAATACTGTATATAACATGTATTAATAAATCACCATGAATGCTCTCTATCTCGCTTCTGTCCACCCATCACCACTTTCTTTGGCTAAATAAAACTATGACATCTGCTGCATCCATGATGGAAGATGGACCAAAGCCCTGTTGTATTATTACAAACACCTTTTCAGTCACGCACAAAACAGCCACATACACAGCCTATGACATAAGCAGGAAAGAGCGAGATCAAAACTACCAAGAAAGGAAGGAAGGACCTTGTGGACTGGAGGTTCGAGGAGTGTCCACAAAGTCGACGAATCTTCCGCTTCCCTCCGACATGCAAAAGTGACGTAGCAACTTATCCCAACCACCTCTTGCTTTTATGTGACCACTGCCATATTATCGCCTGTGCCTCCACTTTCTTGCTATTTCCACGCAATCAAACGCCGCTAATAGACTCGGAAGTGGCACACGGCGCTGCAAAACCGGAGAGAGCTGCTGGTGCACAATCCCACACACCCCCACATGCACGCGCTCGCCTCATCACGCCGGCCCTGGCTCTTCCTGAATGTGACGCAGCACTTAATTCACACACGCGCAGCTCTGGGGATAGACCAATGTAGAGGCTGCAGAAGTGCCAGGATGTAGACAGCAGAAGCCAGCCAGGCAGCAGAGTATAAGCTATAGAGACACATACTATATGTATGTTTAGATAAATGTGACGTTGCCATGTCCTCGATTTCCCTCTGTCCCTCTCTCTGGTGCTCGCCTCTGCCTCCTCCTCCTCCTCCTCTTCTCGACACTGAAAGCTTGCAAGATCACCTGACTGCCCACTTTGCTTTTAAAGAAACATCTACAAGGATTTGTTATGTTTTTTATTGTCATGGAGCTGGTCAAATGTATTGTAATGGATGTGCCAATGTGGAATTTTCCTATAAGATGCATTAAGAATATGACTTTAAACTATGGTATTTAACTTTTTTGTTGAATCAGGAACTCATTTACTTTGTACCAGCAGAAATAGTCATGTGAAATGTTGTGAATGAATCAGACCACAACATGCCGTCTTCATCTTAATAAAAAAACATGTTACCTTTTGCATACCTATAAGAAAGAGCTTAGGCCCACTAAGAAAGGTCACTAGGCCCTAGTGAGTCACTGATTGGAGAGAGGGTGCTCCTCTCGTTTTTACTTTAGTGTCTGAAAAAGGTGAAGTGACAGAGATGTATGTGTGTGCCAACTCAATTGAAATTATGTGTTTTGAGAGCGAGGAAAAGGTAGATGGATTTTAGATTTTGCCCAGCAGTAACTTTATCCTGCAAGTAACTATAGATAAACTATGGAATCAGTTGAGAGTGAGGTGGTCTGGGTCCATTTCTAACCTGTAACTTGTCACATTACATCGCGATATAGACCTCACCACTAGGATACCAACTGAATTGTTAACATAAACAAGACATTCATCAGTAAAAGAGGTAATGTCTATATCAAAATATTATTGAGGGTTATACTACTGTGCTGTGATATTGGCCTGGTTCTTTGACTATTTTGGATTTTGGCTTATTTTCTCATTAGCAAACTATTTGAGTTTGGAAATGATTTGATTGTGTTTACAGCTCACACTTCTGGGTTGTATGGGCTACAATGAGTTAATGCTTCTAATGTTGCGACACATTGCACTGCGTTTAAATAGGAAATGCTAATTATAGTAATGGTACATGAGCATTTGATGTCACTTCCTCGAAGTGTGTCCCATACCACCCAAATCCACTTCCTCTATTGTAATCTATCTTTGCATCAAAATTTGCAACTCGCTTATTAACATGTAATAGTTATTAATCTATATCATTTAAAAAAAACATTATTTTATGATTGATTTTAAAGGCATGGAGTATTCTTAACTTTGGATATCAACCAATATATTATTTGACTTTAAAAACATGCAATATTGTTTTCTACCACTGGATGGAGACAACTTGCAGCTGCTTTCAGAACAAGCAAACTTGAGTTGAACCTTATTTTCTGTGTCAAGTGTCTTAGTGGCATTGGGAAGATTGGTCAATGCAGAGAACAACCAAAAACCACATTCTGGGGCAAAAATAATTCTTTCAGGGCATCTCTTTACATTATGTGGCAATTGCATTTACCTTAGGAATGCTACAACAGGGCGACAGTAGCTCAGTTGGTAGAGCATTGGCCTTAAGGCCAGAAGGTCGTGGGTTCATTTCCCACCTCTGCACCTTCTCCACCGACTCCCACTGATGACTGCTGTCGTTGTGTCCTTGGGCAAGACACTTAACCCCACTTTGCCCAAAGCCCCCACTGAAAGATCAAGGCTATGCTCACACTCAGAGAGCAGCTGTCCTCCTGTGGACTCACCACCTGCAGAGGGTCAGTGAGGGGCTGGTGCTATGAGACTTGGGTGGCATCTCTGACTGTCACCCCCCTGACCCAGAAATGGATTAAAAAAGGGTAGAAAATGGATGGATGGATGGATGCTACAACACTTACTATTATGTCCATTTTTAGTTGTTTAACATTATCTGATCAATTGGTCTAATTTTATGGGGTTTTTTGAGAACTATTCAATTGCTGTATTTATTCATTTTGTATGGGAGGTTTTGGTTTAGGCGCACTACCTTAAATACGCCGCTGGGGGCGCACCTCAAACAGTGGAGTGAGCCTGGGTACAAGGACCAACAGTTTTTGACTGCGTTCTGCACTACTGGATTTCTGAACTTATTTTTGTTGTTGATTTGTGTTGTTCTGTTAAATGTGGATATTTCTTGTGGATAACTAGAAATAATGAATACATACATACATTAAATCACCCTAATCCTGTTTGTAATCATAAAGTTTGGACATTCATCATGACACACATGCACTTCAATTGAAAGCTAAGACCCAGGCCACTAAAGTGACTACAGTGGATTGTTTTTATCATGAGGCATGAGTTAGAAAGAAGATAAAATAGGTGTGTGTGTTTTAGAGCTAAAAATATGAGAGACTGAATTCCAAATTGTGTTGAATATTAACTGGTATTTGTGAGATTATATCTGGCTGCACATACCTGCCCTGAGGAGTCCAGTCGTGTTCTAAGGCGGGGAGTAAGAAAAAGCATAGTAAGATGACAGTAATAACACTCAAAAAGAGCTTTGTATTGAAAATCATGTTGGAACTTACCTTCAAGCCACACTCAACAGGCACAAACTGAACGAACCGCTTTTTATTATCAATATATACGTATAGGGCGTTCAAAAATGGCATTCATAAAGACGATTATATTTTTTAAAACTGCCCTGGGAAATGTTTATTGCCACCCACACAATCACTGGCCTATATCCAAGTGCTGAACTGTGGAGATACTGTACTTTGTAAGCTGATAAAAGGCTTAGTTGTACAATTTAAAACTTCCCTTACCAGTGGATTCCCAATGGAGCCAAGTCTGCGTTTTTAACAAGTTAATAGCAATGTTAAGATTCTGACGCTGACGTTGATAAAACATTGATTTGGTGCTTCCACGTTGCCTTACAGATCCAGATATTTTTGAGTTAATTTTAAGTTAAGTGTGTTAAGTTTTTTCACATAAAGGAAAATTCTCACAGCTGAGATAGGAGAACGTAGAACAACGTTTCTCACTCATTATGGTGTGACTATACTACTAGTGTCATTTAATTTAATTTAAAGCATTTATATTTCTGACTATGGGACGCTGTACTGCTATGAACAGCAAGTATTTTTCAACAATTATATATTTTTTGTTGAAAAATACTTAGATTAGATTATTAGATAGATGATTAGATTAGTTGGAGGAGAATAGTTAAACCAATCAGGAGGCTGCTGGGAGAGCATGGGCGGGTCTAACCTGTGTAGTTCTTCAAAATGTTTCACTCTTTCTTTGAAAATTAAAAAATATTATTATTAATATTACTAGTTCATTCTTTTGAATGTACAGTGATTATTTATTATTTTAATACTTTGTGTGATTTTAATGTTTCTTAACATTTCAAAAGTAACTGAAATTCCCTTTAAATCTTATAAAGCAGTAATTTTTTGACCAATCTATTATATTCTTTGGGGTTTGGTAAGTAAGATTCAACTGCAAATGCAAAATAACAGACAATTAAAAAAGCACCAATTAATAATTAAATGAAACAATACATAATGAACATGAATTATCTTTGCCAATGATGGATTGAGCTATTGTTAATTTTGTAGCAGACATTTTCCTCTTTGTTGCATTGCTGCCTGTAGCTTTACCACCGGAGCAGGGAGCATCATGGAGGAGGACTCAGCTTTCAGCCTGCAGCTATGTGAACGTAAAGGATCTAAGGGATGAGAGAGATTTACACACAGGACAGAGGAGACCATCGATCGGTGCTCCGGCCTCCGGCGCTGTCAGCCGCTGTGGTATTAAACTACCCCGACGTTAAGTGGATACTGTGTGTGCGGGCTTGTACTGCTAATGAGAGGAAACACGTCTGACATGCCACGTTCAGGGTCAAAACTCTCAGGTCCAAAGTGTTAAAGCCACTTAAAGGCCTGATTTTATTCCTGAGTGCATTTGCCTTCACTGACGAAGGGAACTTGGCCTAAAAGGGGTTAAAAAAAAAAAAAAAACCTTTACTTTTAATCAATACTATAACTGAGAGGAAGAGAGTCAGGGAGAGAATGGGGTCGTTAAGCCCCGTCCCTTTTTCTACGTCAGGTTCAAAGAAGAGAATGAATATAATATCAATGGCAAAAAATGTTATTTAATTAATTAACCAATACATAAATTACATATATTTTGCGTGTGCAGTGCCCATTGTTTTTAATGAATTATATCTGATCAGAGATGTGCCATGTGTTCTGGGAAACAGGAGGGTTTTTTATTTGTTAAAAAAAAAAACTAAAAAAATACATGATTAGGAATTTTACAGTACATCACAACCTAAAAGACTGTTTTTAATAATTTCTTCATATCAAGCTTAGATAATTGTCTTTGGTTTCTAAATGGAGTTTGATTAGTGCTAATGCAACACTATGCTAATTGGTCATCTGCCACTTTTGGATCATTGTGTGTTTTTTTTATTCTCTGATCTGTTTTGGCGAATTCAACGGTTTTGTTAAGTCCTCCGAGATAACTACTGTTGTGATTTAGGGCTACACAAGAATACATAGAATTGGATTGAATATATTCTAAGGATGAACTTTTCTTTTCCTATTTTTGTTGTAAATGAAGTATTTATGAAGAGTGTATATATGTAAAAACAAAATTGTGTTTTGACATGTTATTGTGACTAAACTAATAAAAAGGTGTTACGGTTTAGTCTTGGTATTGGTTTAGATCTGGTTTTATCATGATGTACTCTTAGTGAACTTCTGATGCAGTTGTGGTTTAGACCTTTGACAAGTCCCAGGATGTAACTAAAAATGTTAATAAAAAAACAACCTTCCTGCTTGTATCTGTGGTAACATACAGCTCCTTCTGCAACAAGGAGCTAACATGTCGATGGTATATTTAACCCTAATCCTTTCTATTTCAATGGAATCAGTGTTTTAAGCCAAACATATACATCCCAGTTATTTAGGTTCAGTCATTGCTTAACTGATTTGATTTAGTCCTGATCTAGTCCCTGTGAGAAAGTACATCCTTTGGTGTGGTTGCCCTTTGTTTTTCTCATGTTTTTAGACCTAGTACTTTCACAATTCACGCAATAGAAAATAATTTAGGGGCTTTTTGGATTGCAGCGGTCGGGATCCGTGGTTTTGCCGACGCAGATGCTCACGTGCTATTTATTTATGCTCTTTAATCAACAACAGTTTTAATTTTAGCCATGCCATGTATCAGCCCTGCTTGTGCCATTTCCTCAAGTCCAGCCTTCCACTGGAAACATGCCCGGGCGCCAGATCATATCAGATGGCATCACAACTTCTATATGCGTGGATAGGGTTCAATGAGGATGAGAGCCGAGCCTATACAACTGTTGCTGATCATGCACAATCCTGAGCTTCTCTATAACAAAAGATATGATTCGTAAAGTGTCTTCTCTCATTCCAGTCATATTTTGCTCCCCAGGTCTTTTATAGACAACTACATCTTTGCAATCAAAAAACAAAATCAAAAAGCCCTAGAACTACAGTGTAACATCCAACGCATCAAAATGATCTAATTAAGGATCAACTATCAACTAACTAACTAACTAACTAACTGACAAATTAACTGCTGTTATTATTTTTGCTTGTTTGTTGGATGTTGCTGCATGTGACGCATAACTGTGGGTTGGGACCAAAAAGTGGATTGCCAGATCATATTATAATTTAATATATTTGAAAACAATTGACCTCATTTTAAGAAATATTATAAGAAATGTGTCCATAAAAAAAAAAAAAAAAAAAAAAAAAAAACTAAAAATCTAAAACCACTGAAAAAAAACTTTCAGCTCTCTTAAAATTAATTGATTGAATAATATGTTTTTACATTTTAATTCCTTGATTCCAGTCTTTAGTGTAGTAGCTTAGATTTTCAAAGCTTATAAAAAAATAACGTCACAAGATAATAGTTTATTTATGACTATTTATAAACTAGAAGCAGTTATTTTTTGGCTTGGCGTTATCAGAATCAGAATCATTTTTATTGCCACGTAAGTAACAAACATATGTTGATGGTGGGTCCTGACCAGTTGATCTAGTCCAGTTTAGAACCACAACCTTTTAACAGGCAAGTTTGTAATCAAATTATTATTATTACTATTATTTCTTCACTCTTTTGAACGTACTGTGTCTTTTTATTTTTTTATACTAATCTTATCTTGTTTTGTTAGGCACTTTGAATTGCCTTGTGTGTGAAATGATTGAGTAAGTAGAGGCCTACCTCAAAGGATGTCCAAGTTGCTCAGTCCACAGTGAATTGCTAGTGTGATCTCCTAGGAAAAAAGGAAAGAAAAGAAAAGAAAAAGGTCATTTTGTATCGTGTTTCCATTTGTGCATGTGGCCTAAATAATAGTCAAACAATGGCTCAAACTGTGCTCACTTTAGGGCTTTCATCCATAACGACGTCATAACCCTGGTGCGCGTGGAACAATCATAAACGCAATAGAACACAATAGAAATTAAATCACTTGATGGAAAAAATAAAATAAAATGCGTATTAACTTGATATTTCACTTTGCATCTATTGAAGTGCGTATGCTACAGGATGCCTGCATGACCTAGTAATAAATCCAGGAAGGACGCCATCTTGCGTTCGTGAAGAATACTGCGTTTTAAGGGGTTTGTTTACATCAGGAATAAAAAGTGCGTATGACATAGAAACCTCTGCATGACTATTGCTTGGTCACGGCGCTGGCACAGGACAAAAACACGTCAAATCAAACAAATAAACAGCCATTTACGCCACTGTCATGCGTAATACAGATAAGTGCGCACTAATGACAATCTTACATAATTTGGAGTATTGCCACGCAGTAGAATTTTGAAAAGGTTAGATTAGTCCATAACCAAACAAGCCTATACAATACACAATTAATAACCAGTGTTTAGCAAATTAACATGACATAAAAACCCATCAAAACAATACTCACTGAAACGTCGCCAAGTCGCTCGTTGACTTGACGCTACTTTACAAAAAAACACGTGGCGTTTTCGCTCAAAACAACGAAAACACATACAACATACATTAAGCTGTTTGCGTTGGAAGTAAAGCGTGGTGATGTAAAGAAGGCGCTCGGGAGTATCAGTCCACCGCATGTGACTGGCTGGGCGGTGGGCTCGTCTGGAGAAGGCGTGGATGGTGCGCACTCAGATCCAAATCCAAATGCGCAACATCTTTTACGCAGCAGCAGTGCACCTCTGCCAGCGCGAATCTACTCAAGTCTACTGCGTGTATCAGAAAAGTGGGGGTTTTTGGAGGGATTTGAGAGAGAGATAGGGTCGTGTTAGAGCGAAGAAAGTTGTTTGAAAGCGTCGTAAGTGAACTATATATGAGACAAAGACTTGAGTGAGTGAGAGCAATGCATAGCTCATATACATATACATCCAGACATAATGGGGCAGCGTGTCATCACAGAGAAATAGCCACGCATTTCATACGCAGGTTGAAAATAAGAGCACTCACCTATACGTCTAGGTCTGTGGCGCAGTCGCTCCTCCATAGCCAGTCTGCGCGCCATTATACATGTATTGTTAATCAACTCAAAAGCCAGTCCCATAATAATAATTTAAAAAAAGCCTGGTCCATCGACATGTTCGCAGCAACACAGCACAGCCCTGCCCACAGCGCGCACACCCCCGCCGCCTCATTGGACGCGGCTGACAAGTGCGTTGACCAGGTCACGTGACGCTGACGCATGTTTACAAAATGTTCCTTTACAGCAGAGAACAAGGCGTCCACATCACATGGCGCACATTCTCAGCCCTTCCGGTTACACTGTGGTTTTATGTGCACTTGTTGTGGTGGTGGTGGTGGTTTAAATATTAGTGTTTATGATGAGGCTTATCGCATGTACTCTTCTGACCCACATAACCTGTTATTGCATTTTGGACTATTGCTCAATCACATGTCTTTATGTTTTTGTTGGCTTACTTTTTTGTTCTTCAGGGCTTCTCTTGTTCCAGCATGTTTCTGCTCGTTCTCCTGCACGTAGTCAAAGGCAACAGCAGGGGGCAGCCTAACACCGTCTTTTTCTATAGTCATGTAATAGCTCCTCTCTCTCTGGAGCCAGGAGTCTGACATCTCAGTGGGACGGCTGCGGGTGTAAAGTGCCCAGCTGTTGTGCCCTTGGGCAAGACAATTCATCCACATTGCATTCTGGTGTGTGCATGGTGGTTGTCAGCCGACTGGGTTGACTCGCTTCTGTCCGTCTGTCCCCATGGCAGCTGTGACTATAGTAGTAGTGAAAAATACACAAAAATACAAAACTGATGCTAAATTTTAATTGTTGTTATTATTATTATTATTATTATCATTAAGCCTGGCTTTACTTCCATGATCCAAGTTTCCTTCTATGGTTTGACATGGAAGCAGAAGAAAATGGATGGATGGTTTCACATAGGTTTTTTATGAGCATTTTACCAAAAGCACTTTTTAAATGATTTTAAAGTCAAGAAAGATTTTGAGTGTCAAGAAAGGCACCTAAGAAATAAAATGTATTATTACTATTTAAAAAAAATGAAATCCTGAGATTAGTGATAGAAGATAATGCATTGCAATACAAATTTACCATAACAGATGTTTATTACTGACCAGAATGCATGTCATTTTAATCCATCAAAATAATGTATTCTTTGTGCTGGTTGGGTCACACCTCCACAGATCTGACTTGGTATTGCCACCAGTTAAATTCCAGATACAACTTTACAACAGAGAGAAAAGGTGATTGATATTATAGCACACTTCTTGGCAAGGCATAGCATTTCCACTCACAGTGCCCCTTTAAACACGTCAGAATTAGAGCACCTTAAGGATGTTGTCAAATCTGCACCATGTTTTACTGAAGTTGTCATATTTGGGACAAAATGTAACTCATAAAGTCAGATTTGCGATATGAAGCCGGTGTTATTGCTATGATTTGTCTTGCGTGCAGAGTCTGGATTTTTATTTTCATCACTGGTAATGACAATGTGCTACAGAAAATACTTCAACTGTAAAACAAATAAGATTTACAGTGCAAAACAAAACACAGTGCAGCACACAAGCAGTTTGCAGTAAGTTTAAACACAAAGTAAGGTAAAGTCTTAATCCAGTGCTAAACCTGCGTCTCTTCAGCTGATGGACTGTAACATCCACACTGTCTGTTCACTCCCTCATGGACATTAGTCAAAGAGGCCCCATAAAAACCCCTCCCTTAATGTAGATCCCAGCTTTCAAACGGAATTCTACATTTCCCCTGCTACACTTTTTTTTGAATAAATGAAATATATATTGTGTTTCTTCTTCGACGCATGTGTGAGCTGTTGTGAAAGGCCCTTGCTCTGCTGCATCGAGGTAGATGTACAGTAAATAATGTATGCAAATAATGTTTACAATGTGATACAAGGCATAGATTTCAAATATACATGGGTGTTTTAACCAGACAGTCATTACAGTACTCAGAGTGGAGAAGCATTCCTCTTCCCTTTATGTGGAAAGCATCAGGTTATTTCCAGAACATTGAGGTAAAGAAAATGTAAAACAAATGTCAACAGATGTTACTTTATGCTATTTTGGCTTCCTGTTTTGAAGACCATTTTCTCATTAAAAAGATATTGTGTTTTGTTTTGAAATGAAAATGAAAATCAATCTAACTTTAAGGCTAAAGTATACTTTATGTGAGAAACTTGTTCTCTGCATTTGACCCAGTCTGTCAAAATATTACCTGCAACCACTTCTCCTAGTGGTCGCCACAGCGCCGTGCCCAGGACCCATCTCCAGAGGTTGATGTTCGGCTTGGTCAGGACAAACAGAGCTGGAGCACTTGTGGGAAACCCACCCAGACATGAGCAGAAACAAACAAAAGGCTGCTGACACACGATCTGACCCAAAACCTTCTTGCATTGAGGTGTATTAAAGTGCTTATCACACAGATGTGTAACACAAAGTGCTTTACAGTTTGTTAAAAACAATCCCACATGCTCAATAATACAAAGGTTGAAATAGAAGAACATACATAAAATGAAAACATAAAATAAATCCTTCAAATAAAAGGATAGTTGAGAGAGCCATGCTGCCAGCCCAGCCCCATCTACTCAACTCCAAGTATGGCACATCCAAACAGTCCCAGCCATAAGAATGATGAAACACCACAAATGTAAGCCGGAAAACATACACGACCTACTTCTAGGCCCAAGAATGAATATTTCTCCTTCGCCACAGTCAAAACAAACCCCTGAGAAATATACACAAGCCAAACAAATCTAATTGGAGAAAGATTCAACTTTACCAATGAGAGATTTACAGACCAGTCCTGATACAAGCATGCCCTGGTGGTCACACTGGATCAGAGTCACAAGATAAGAAAAAGTGCCACAATTCTAAGAATGCCCACATTTGTGAAATAATTGTCTGATACTGAGGCTTCTGCAGAAACCAGGCACCACATAGACCTGAACCAGATATGATTGTGCAAAATAGAGTTGATTATCATAACAGGAGGAACAAACATGAAAGCTTACAGGCTGGCCGTGTTCAACAGGAGTCTTCACCAGAACTAATGGTGACTAATAATTGGGAACTTGCAAAAATATCTGTTTCCGAGTCTGAAGAGAAAAGGAAAGTGTCCAAATCTACTGTGACAATCCAGATGAATCAGAGGTGCTAGAAGTACTTTAGCAAGACCACAAAATAAACTCAGTGTAACGAAGACAGAAGACTTTTGGTAAAAGATGGCTTACACTTAGCCTGGTCGTACCACACCGTAGTACAAATGACATTTCATACTAAGGTCTGGAGGTGCTCCATTGAGCTCCGTGTACAGGTGGGAGGGGTTAACTCCTTTTGCAGATTGAAACGATTGGATCTGAGTTTACCGTGACGTATGTAATGCTCCTGAGTGAGTCGTTAGCATTTAGCATTGAGGGGAGTAGCGCCACAATATTTTCCAGCGATTACATTTGCTAAACATTCCTCTTGCTCCGGCTTCAATTTCTTGATAGAACCAGACCGGATTACTTTACTATCGCATTTCTCGCCATTGCCAAACTACAACCTTCCCGTTTGACGCAAACTCTTGACATCACCCACAACTAACTACAACACCTGCCTTCCGCGCTCTCTGAATGGTCGGTCAACTGATTGTAATCGCTAACCCAGGGATCAGACCCAGACGTTACATGCAGTGAAATGATGATTGAGCGGAGTGTACGGATGGCTAAGGCCAGGCTAGCTTACACTCAATGAGCCTCATCAGATTTCAGATTTCAGATTCATTTTATTCGCCATTTGCAGTAACACTACATTGGAATACATTAGTAAAAGTTCCCAGTGTGCACAGGACAAGTACAGACATAAAACAACATTAAAAGACAAAAATAAAACAAATTTTAAAAACAGTAAACAAATGTCACTGTGAAGTTGACCAACTAAAACAGATCTATACAAGTGCAAAACACTAAAGTGCTCTATTCAAACTGATAACAGCTCGTGGAAAAAAAACTATTAGCATAACGAGATGTCCTGCATCTCAGAGAACAGTATCTTCTGCCAGAGGGAAGAAGCTGGAACAAGGCTTTTCCTGGGTGGCCAGAAGAGTCATTGATAATTCTCAGGGCACTGTTAAAAAGTCTGGATTGATAAAGAGCCTCCAGGACAGGAAGTTCACAGCCTACAGTCCTCTTAGCAGAGCGGAGCACCTTGTTTAGAGCTCTCTTTTCTTTATCTGTGATGTTACCGAACCACACAGACACAGAACCAACAAGTAAACTCTCAATGGTGCAGCGATAAAAGTTCAGCAGAATCTTAGAGTTAGTGGTAAATTCTCTAAGTTTCCGCAGGAAGTAGAGACGCTGACGAGCTTTCTTTACGACCCGGTCAGTGTTTTTAACCCATTTCAGGTCATTAGACAGAGTTAGACCCAGAAACTCTGTCTAATCATGTATGAAAGTTGCGCAGAAAAGGGTGTATATTCCATTTACGCAAGATCCAACTTCGGGTTTATGAACGTGTGAGATACGCACAGATCTGTGCGTACGCACCTGCGGGTGTTCATAAATCCCACGGCTGAAAACGAACGTATTTATGAAAGTCACGCCTAGAATTATGCAGCAATCGCCTGTAAAACGGCCTGTTTTTGCGACAAGTCAGCAGGAAGTCGGCCAAAAAGACTGTTTGGAAGCCTCAAATGGCCTGTGGCACGTTTGTGTGTTCATGGTTATGTAAAAATAATTACTTTTGAACAAATTTGCAAAAATGTTTTGATAAACTAGAAAAATCTCTCTTGAATTGTAGAAGTGAATAAATATAGATTGAATGAATTAATTAATTCATATATGTTGTGCAGCGGTGGCTCTCATCAATGAAGCGTCTGCAGCGTCTTGTGAATGCATTGAAGCGCTGTACACTTGCGAGAGCGTTTGCGGTCCAGATTTTACAGAGAAACTCTGGAGCCAAAACTTCTGAATGACAGCATTTGAGGAGTTATGTGGCGCGTCTCTCATGGCACCTGCTGTGGATGCACTC